GAGGAAAGGCTGTTACAATGGTAGTGCTCTTGCTGCAGTCAGTGGTGCAAGGAAGTTTGCTGATGTGGAGATGGTCTCTGCCCACAGGCCCACCTGGGAGGAGAGCAGTGGCCAGTATGGTGTAGAGCCAGTGGCTAACAGTCCCTTGGGCTTCAGAGGCCATGCTCTCCATGTGCGCAGCAGAAATTTGTCTGTGATAATCACACACCAAATGATTAAAAATGTGCATGGAGAACTCTTAAATGCTTTCCCCTCTGCCTTCCTGCCATGGCAAGAGCAGCACAGTGAGCATCAGGCAACAAAGACAAGAAGCAGCATGATCGTTCTTAGTCATCAGTCCCCATCTACTCCTTTTGCTGCAAATCAGTAAACACAGTCTATGAGTGAGAAGTTGAGCTGCGAGTGATCATTACTCAGATATGCACAAGAAGGACTGTTCTCCCAGGCTGGCTGCTGGGCACCTCCTCATCTTGCCATGCCAGAGTCACCGCAGTGGCAATGGGAAGCGCCAGCAAGGCAGACCATGCTACTTTATGCAGAACAGAAATTGCATCCATTTTTGAAAGGGTAGAAAGGAGGACTCTGGGAACTACCAGTCAGCCTTACCTCTGTGCGTGTGAAGATCATGGAACAGATTCTCCTAGAAGCTATGCACGTGGAGGACAGGGAGGTGATTCAAGACAGCCAACATGGCTTCACCAAGGGCAAGTCCTGCCTGACCAACCTAGTGACCCATCAGTGGACAAGGGAAGAGTTACAGATGTCATCTATCTGGACTTCTGTAAAGCCTTTGACATGGTCCCCCACAATGTCCTTCTCTCTAAATTGGAGAGATGGATGTGACGGGTGGACTGTTCGGTGGATGAAGAATGGATGGATGCTAGCATCCAGAAGGTAGTGGTCAACAGCTCAATGTCCAGGTGGAGACTAGTGACAAGTGGTGTCCCTCAGGGTCCCATATTGAGACCAGTAGTGTTTAATATCTTTATCAATGACAGAGACAGGTGGATTGAATGCACCCTCAGCAAGTTTGCCAACAACACCAAGCTTGAGTCATGTGGTTGACATGCCTGAGGAGCGGGATGCCATCCAGAGGGACCTGGACAAGCTTGAGAAGCGGGTCCATGCAAACCTCATGAGGTTCAACAAGGCCAAGTGCAAGGTCCTGCACATGTATCAGGGCAACCCCTGGTATCAGTACAGGCTGGGGGATGAAGGGATTGAGAGCATCCCTATGGAGAAGGACTTGGGGGTACTAGCAGATGAAAAGCTGGACATGAGGCAGCAATGTGTGCTCACAGCCCAGAAAGCCGACCGTATCTTGGGGTGCATCAAAAGGTTGAGGGAGGTGATTCTGCCCCTCTACTCTGCTCTGGTGAGACCCCACCTGGAGTACTGTGGTCAGCTCTGGAGTCCTCAGCCCAGAAAAGACATGGATCTGTTGGAACAGAGGAGGGTCACAAAAATGACCAGGGGGCTGGACCATGTCTCCTATGAAGAAAGGCTGAGAGAGCTGGTGATGTTCATCCTGGGAAGAGAAGGCTCTGAAGAGACCTTATTGTGGCCTTTCAGTACCTAAAGGGGGCTTATAAGAAAGATGGGAACAAACTTTTTAGCAAGGCCTGTTGCAATAGGACAAGGGGTAATTGTTTTAAACTAAAAGAGGGTAGATTCAGACTAGATATAAGGAAGAAATTTTTTACAAGGAGGGTGGTGAAACACCGGAACAGGTTGCCCAGAGAGGTGGTAGATGCCCCATCCCTGGAAACATTCAAGGTCAGGCTGGACGGGGCTCTGAGCAACCTGATCTAGTTGAAGATGTCCCTGCTCATTGCAGGGGTGTTGGGCTAGATGACCTTTAAAGGTCCCTTCCAACCCAAACTATTCTATGATTTTATGAAACAGATTTGTGTCAAGAGCACTGTAATAAAGACTTGGTTCAGTGAGGGAAATAGAGGTAACAGTGGTAACAGAAAAACACACCAAGCAATTGGGAGCTGTGGCTGTGCTTTCCAGCATGCCATCACAGGGCGAGGGTGGGTGAGGCGCTGGGCCGGCATGGCATGTACCAGCAGAGTCTCTGCTTGGCAGAGGGGCTGGGGGGCCAAACTCACTCCAACCCGGCAGCACAGAGGTCGAGGCTCTGGTACGTGGGGTAGGGTAGGCAGCCCAGCTATGCAAAAGGAGGAAAGTGGGTTCAGACCATCCTGAAACTGGTCTCATTTGTTTTTGGTGCTTTGGCATGCAGGGTTGCTGGGAAGGGCTTAGGTCAATGGAAAAACAAACCCAAAGTTGCAGAAGGGCTGGGCTGAGGAGAGAGGGATGGAGAAGGGCATGCAGTGGGGCTGGTGTCAAGGGCTGTTGTGTGTAATAGGAGCAGAGTCTGGCAGACACTGCTGCTGTGTCTGTATGTGGTCAGGGCTCCTGCCTGTTTGATGGGAAAGCAAGACAGAGGGGAGGAGTAGGAGGGGGTGTGGGGAATTTGCAAAAGAGCTTTTCCAGAGGCTCTGATTAATCGTTTGGCACCACAGCCAATTTAAGCAATCTCTGCCCCAGGCATAACAAAGGGGAAATCACAGGGTGGGGAGACACAGCAGGGATGGGCAGGGACAATTAAGCCAGCTGCCATCAGAGAAACTGGCTGAACTACCACGGGGTGATGGCACCGCCAATATAGTACAAACTGCTGGTCATCAGTGGGTCAGAGATTTGTGGGGGAGACCCTCTCCCCAGGGGATGGCTACAGGGCAGGAGCAAGGGCAAGCACAGAGAAGGGCTGGGAGCAGGTGTGCTCTGCAGTTCAGAGCAGTCCCAGCCAGCCTCACCTTGCAAAGATGTCATCTTGCAAAGACACAGGAGGAGGTCTGAAACCAAGAAAAGCAGCTCAGCTTTCCCCTGCAGAAAGGGCTAACTACCACCCCACCAAACACAGCTGCCTCGCCTGCTTAGGCCACTGGATTCAGCAGGTGGTGGGAAGGTGACACCAAAAGCCGCCATTTCCTCAGGATGAATCTACTACTTCAGCCTAAGACAACAGGATGTGAGAAATTGTTTAAAGAGGGCACTGAAACTGTCACGGACTTTTCCTTGGCGGTAACCAAAGTCGGGGGATGTTTCAGATAAAGGAGAGTGTCCATAATTAGGGATGCACATAGTGCGACAAGAAACATCCCAGCCAAACACATCTGTCACAACTGGTCTTCCTTGCTGAGTCAGTAACTTAGCACTAGTGAAGCCTTGGAAAAGCTCCAGCTCTTTGATTTACAGCCATCCTTGGCGTAGGTTTGACAGGGACTGGCACAATTGTTCCGGACCCATCTGGCTGTCAGGACACCTCAGCAGTAGGACAGTGCTGCTTGATTGCACCATACCAGGTCCTGCTACCAAGAAGCAAATGTCCAACCAACCCAAACCCTTTTACAGCATGCCACGCACATAGTTTTGCTGGCCCCCAAAGGACCATGTACGCCAAATTTCTTCATTTAAGCTTTGCCCACTTATCCAGGCTTAAAATAAAAACAGATATGGAACTGATCTTCTAGAACAATCCAACTGCTGGAATAAAAAACACTGTTTGAAAACTTGTAAGCAGGAAATGAAAATACCATATAGAGAGCTGTTATCCCTGTTCGGGGTTTAGCAGGCCTGAGCTTTATCACAGACCAAGAAAAACTACCCCTCCTCCACTGGAGGAAAACATATCTGCCTCAAGGTGTTTTCCAGGTTTACTGACATTCAGCATAGGGCTATTTCAGTTTGATCACTAAAAGTGGTGAGACATGATCAGGCATAATCATTAACTGATCTCCATTCATATTCCCTATATGGTACACGATTCACAGAACGCTCTGGATGAAAGTCCACAGCTCGAGTGGTTCCACGAGCCACAGCTCTGGAACAGAAGTAGCTATCTCCACACTCTGGGACCAGCACAACACAGGACCTGAGCCCTCACTTTGTCTCTGAGCAGACTTGGGGAGGGGGGTGATCCAGTGAGGTACAGCCTTGAGTACACACCTTCCTGATCCTAAATGGTTTAAACCATTTCTGCAATGAAGGACCTGGAGAGGTAGCCACAATGAGCACCAGAAATACCTACAAAGGCAAACTTTTGTTGCACTTCTCATTTCTACTTGTATTTTCAGTCTGCAGAGAGCACAACACAAGCACACTAATATACAGGTTTCTGTGTATTTTTACCTCAGCCTTGCTGGTAGACACGTTCAGAAAACTAGCAGCAATTTCTTTTCACAATGGCAATTAAAAAAGAAAATGTGCTGTGAAGGCAGGAAAGATCAGGAGTTTGCCAGTGGAAGAGAATAGATAAATTAGAGGGCTCAGCTCAAGCCCTCATGCAGGGTCAGAGCTGACTAGGTATTTTCTCTTCCCTGTTGCTTGTGCCTGCAGCCTGTTAGGGCTCTACTGGTCACTCAAACACTCCAACCAACCCAAACCCACCTACAGCACAGATGAACACAAAGGTGTGCTGGGACCTGTGTGATAGTCTGATACAACATCAGGAGGAAAACTGCACCGAGTGTAACCTCTGCTCCTAGGAATACCTTTACACCCCTTGAAAGAGTAGCTCCATGATACAAAAACAGTGAGGCTAATCCATTGGCACTGGTGTCAAAAAAAAAAAAAAAGCAACTGAGGTCAGTGTGTCCATAAGATTTTTATCATGGTGAGAAGTGATCCAAGACAGGAAGCAGACACAAGACACTATAGCTATGCTCTTACACTACACCCACCTCTGACCTTCAGGAGCCCATGGTTTCAGGAGCATACCCACCCACGAGCACACTCCTGTGTGCTCAAGTTAGGTGTGTACCTCCCTCAGAGTAGGTACAAGTAAATGAGGGCATCAGTGCTCTGGCTGGAAGTGAGGGGGTGTGTATGGACTACGTGCACTTCAGATGTAGAATCTCTCCTTGAGAACAGGTTTTCATAAGCACTTGTCCTGCTTAAGATCTCACTAGCATTCACATATAGACTCTTACTTCATTAAGAAAGGTTAAAGTGTTTGCCTTTTATTCAGAAGACTTGTTCCATTTCCAGTGATACTTTTTCCATGTCCTTCAAACCAAAGAGCCCCTAGTTTCATAACAGTCTACCACAAAAAAAGCAAACAAATCAAAACCATAAACAAATACAGCTAATACATTAGAGAAATAATAAACATTTACACAGTTAGGTCTGTTGCTATAAAACTGATAATATGCAATTAGAAGATTGGTAAGATTACCAGGTCTGCTAGACGTTTAAAGCAAGTCTAATTAGGCTGTATCTATACTGTCATGCTGGTTTTAAGCACAAGTTTGTACTCAGGACCTAGCTACCTCAATCATCCACACTGCCACGTGGTGGGCTTTCACACAACTTCCCCTACAGCCAGCACTGTGTATGCAACAGGCTCAAGCTACCTGTCCAGACTCAAGCAGCACTTGCAAAAGCTGTAAAGAAGTAGCCTATAGCTGCCTCCTCCCTATGAATATGGTATTACAGGGTTCACCTGCATATGCCTGGTTAAGAAACAAGATACAGTCAGTTGTGTGCTATTAATACCTTAATTAACATGGAATCTTAGATTTTAGAAAAATATTTTGTCAGTTCACAAGTAAAAACTATCACTATTACAAAACATATCGTAATACTAGAGTATCTAGCTTGAAAAAGATTTTTGTTCTTATTGCTGTTGCATGTAGTTTTCAGAAGCTGTGTAGCATGAAGGTAATTAGTGGGTTTCCCACTTGTCATAGTTAACTTGTAAGGGTACTCACAGGAAGATACACTTTCCTATTTAATCCTCACACAATTTTCACATTTAGGCTGCCCTGACTTTTTTTCCAAGACATGTGCATAATTGACACCTGACACTACGTATCAAAGTCTCACTCAACTTGTCTCATATAACAGATTTCATTTGCAGCCTTTAAACAAAGGACATTCACCCCAAAAAGAGTGAACACCAGCATTGACACCATCTTAGCTACTTGAAAATCCTATAACTGTGTTCTGACAGCTATCAGATATTAACTCATTCATTTCATTTTGTTTGGTTTCTTCCTTATTCTCATGATTAGGGTGATGTTTTGGACTTCCAGCTTTTTTAGACCTTCTGAGGAAAAATTTTGTCAGTAAGTAACATAATTCAGCCACATTTAAAAGAATACAAATACTGGACACAGCAATCATGAAAATAGTAAACACTGTCTTTTCAGTAGGTCGAGAAACAAAGCAGTCTACTGTGTTGGGGCAGGGCCAAGCATTACACTTCATTAAACGAGGCATTCGGAACCCATCGTACATGAAATAAAATGCATACATGAAGACAGCTTCAAAGACCAGTCTGAAGAAGATGCTGCTAGTGTATGTCCACCACAAGGAACCCTCAATACGAAACCTCTGTTTTCTGATTTCTTCAATGTCCTTGTATTCACATTTCTGGTCTCCCTTTCTGAACTGCCTTTTCTTCTCATGCCTCCTGTAAGCTACATGCATGGCCACCAGCAACGCAGGTGTGGAAACAAAAATCAATTGCAGGGCCCAGAGTCTGATGTGAGAGATGGGGAAAAAGTGATCATAGCAAACATTCTTGCAACCAGGTTGCAGAGTGTTGCAGATAAAGTCATCTTGTTCGTCTCCCCAGACTCTCTCTGCAGCCACAACCAGGATCATGATACGGAAGATGAACAGGACTGTGAGCCATATCTTCCCAATGCTGGTGGAGTGTTTATTCACACCTCCTAAAATGGTATGCAGAGCTCCCCAATCCATTGTCTTGTTTTAATCGTCTGACCTAAGACAAGACAAATAAACAAAACTAAGATTAATCAAGATGGGAAACAAATACCATCAAGCATGTGGTATAAAATAAAAGCAATACCATGTAATTGCAGCACATTCATTGGTTGTGGTAACATTTTGTTGATGCAGTGGTCTTACCTATAAGCAGTCATAAATAATAATCACATATCAGCAGGTAGTATTTCATTACTTGATTACACACATGGTATCACATTCATTCAACTTCTAGGTGTATTTGCCAACTGAAAACAACTATTAACCACATTAAGTAGTAGGAAAAGTGGACAGAAGAAATTAAAAAAGACTTGAATTAAAAGCTACAATTTCTAGTGGTTTGATAACAGTAACGAAAAAATAGATAATAGATAATCACATCAGCCAAAAGTAAGGTAGGTGATATATTAAAAAATAAAGTGTTAGACAGCTAGAACTCCTATATAAATTAATCCAAGTTGGCCCATCCTTAGCTTTCGAGCATAAAAGAGGTTTTCATAAGTATAATCCAGGAATAAAGACAGACCTCGAGGAACTGCTGTTAATGCTCTGCACCTTCCATGAGCAGGTCTGGATAACCTGCATTCACAAATTTATAAAATGTGACTGCAGGGCTCTGTCTTGTTACAGTTCAAGAAAATTCCACAATAGTATGAGGCAATGAAGGTGAAGGCTTAGTCATTATCCATTTAATCTTGAGTTTGATGTTTAAAATCAATGCTTAAAGATTCATACCCAAACTGCATTTCTCTCAACTACAAAGAGAGCCTAGGGTAACTAGATAAAAACTCCTTCATTGCTAATGCCTGTCAGATGATTCCCACCCCCCAAGAACTCAGACTCCATTACTCATAGAAAAGGAGACACATTTCAGAGGCTGGGAGAGTGCTAAAGTCAACATTTGAATTGTTCAGACAGGCCAGCAGTAGCTCAGACTTTTCAACAGAAGCATATAGTTTCCAGTAGGTGAGTTTCAAAGTACTATGACTGTAATGACTTAAAGGATTTCACTTTTGTCTCCCACATACCTCCTCAGGAACACCACAGTTATTTGTGGAAGCTGAACAAACCCAGACAACAGCCTTTTACATAGAGCATTCAGAGGCATGTTGGCCCACGTCTCCTCACACCTCCACTTCAGATGGATTTACAGAAGGTTTGCAAGCTATTCTGAATTCAGCATTTCTTGTGCCAATCACCTAGGACCCTCTAAAAGTACTCACAGAACTCTTTGCTCTGAAATTCCTCATGAAGTTTTTTATTTCTCAACTTCATTAATTTCTTTGCATCTCAGAAAACATTTTTCTTTGCCATTTACAGTACAGGGCACCAATAAGCCAAATCACATTTTCAAGGTTTCTAGATAAGAGCAGCCACTGGTGCAAAGGCCACCATATCCATCACGTGACAGAATTTTTAACATTTTCCTAACCCTCAGCTGGGTCACATTGCGTAAGGAAGAAAATGAAGACATTTCTCTGCAGTTGTCTTCCGCATCACAATCCCATTCTGAGTAATGTCAAAAACCTTTCTGCTCTACAGCAGAATTACATGTAATCAGTAACACACAATAATACAGAGCATCAGTCAAAGTACACAACTGCTCAGGGAAAAGTAGGACATTTAATTGTCATATGAATGCAATGTTTGTTTTTTTTCTCTTGACTTATTGGAATGTAAGTGTAATCTCCCTTCACTAGTCCCATAAACTACATTTCTCTCAGGTCATGCTGGTTGACTCCGTGGGGTTACACTTCAGGAGTTGAAAAAAAGAGGGGACCCAAGATTTTCTTCAGATTGGAAAGAACCTTTCCTGAGCCTCCATCAGGATGCAGAATCTATGTGGGCTACTACCCCTGTATCAGTCTGAAAACAGTCCTGGTGGCAGAGTTACCTTCTTATCCTGCTAGGTTATTTTTCCAAGAAGAAAGCTTATATTTGTTTCCACCCCTTTTTTACCATTTGGTTGTTCATCAATCAGACCAGCCTTTCTTTCAGGATTTGTTTTTGAGATCATTGTATGTTAAGCAGAGGAACAGTTACAACTTTATTAGTGTTTTTATTAGTGTTCTCTGTTACTCTTAACACACACATTGCAATTACAGTACTTATAAAATAACAACTAAGTATTATGACTAGAAATACTTATGCACACCTGAATATAAATCCTGTAGACGACTGGCACCATGTAAACCGTGGCATTACACAAACCATTCACCCACCCTTTAATTCCAGGTTTCTTGCATTTCTTCTCTGTCACTGTTCCTTCTCCCTGCCTGTCAGCCATTTCCTTACAGTGTGAAAGACTGAGAAGTGGAACCTGTATATCCCTTCCTCTTAAGTCCCATTTTTTTACACTTCACCCCTCACTGTACAACAATACCAATGCCTTTCTGTTATCACAGCTTCACAAGGATTTGTTTCCGTATGGAATCACTGCTTCCTGTCTCCCTGTGCAAAAGGGGATTCAAAATACAAGTGTCTTAGGGTGTAGTTAAAAGGTACCTTGCCTTCAGCAGCAAAGTTAGCTCAAGATGATTCCCCATCACTGTTTGATCCTGAGGTCACACTGCAGTTTATCTCCTGCAACTTTGTGAGGATACATTATAAACCAGGTGGCTTGTTCAAAAGTTATTCCCACTACTGGTATGGGTTTTTTTTGTTTTTTTTTTAAATCTCAACCCATTTCCCAACCTGCTTTACAGCACAGACCCATGGAGCATCTGAAAAGCACAACTTCATTTTAAAAACAGGCTGCAAATTGCAAAGCATGGGTAAGAACGAGCAGTCAGTGGGGAAGAGGGGCTGTCAAAGCTTTATTGCTGAGGACGATACATCTTGAAACTATACTCTTCATCTGACTTGCTCCATCTCCTTTGAGTATATTGTGTTTGCTAAGCCAAAACATGGTGCCTCAACTCCAGCAAAAGCTGTACCCGGACCAATGCAGAAAAAGCCACACTTTGGAGAGGCAGCCTTTCACCCCAAGTCTCCTAGAGACATTTTCTCTCCTTCCCAAAAAAGCCTTTGTCTTTCCTATCTGCCCAAACCCTCCCCCTGTCACCATTCCCACCTACCTTTCCAAATCCTACATCTCTTCAGCTCCTCCTGCTATCATCCTCTATTCTTTCTGCTGCTTGCCAAGCTAGTCACCAAACTTTGCCCCTTGCTGTACCCTCATTGCCTCTCAGGCTTGTTTTTATGCTGGTGGAAAGTCATATGATTGCTGGGACGCTCCAGAGTAATACAGGCACTGATCAGATACCAGTAAAGTCTTATCTTCTCCCTGAAGGGTGGCACAGTTAAGATTGTAGGGCCATACTCAGGCAGCCTGAATTTCATCCAAATACTTGGATGTTAGTTTCCTATTAGCTGGCTTTAAATACCCAAGCAGAATCAAGTTAACAGAGCATGGCCCTTCACACTATTAAAACATCAGTGCAGATCACTCCAGCAAGTTTGGGCTAATACTGACGTGATGGCTCATTTACTCTTAAGTTACTAAAAAGCTAAGATGTAGACTCATGATTGTAGGTTATCTTTCCTCCAGATACTTGCTTTTAAGACCTTTTAACTAGCAAGTAAAATATTAACTGTCTTGCTGACCAAAGAAGAAAGCAGGAAAGCTACTTCCTTTTAATGGGTAGTAACTCTTCTTTTCAGAGACAGTCTAGATACTACTTGTATGTGGACAAATGCAGCTAAATACCTACAGAAATAACACTATGTTGACAGTTAGGGACTTACCTGCTTTGCTGATCTCAGAACCACAGCTCAAGTTAGACATTAAAGCTCTGGTGATTTTTTTTTTTTTTTAAAAAAAGTAAAGTAGGAATGAGGATAGGGACCAGCTATAAAGGAAGAAGCTGGGAAGAACAGAAAATAGCTGAAGTTAGTTAGGTTGAATAACTGAGCATTTAGAACCCATTCTAACATGGGAGTGTTAGATTTGTTAAGTGTTACATTTTCCTTAAAAAAAAAAATTGCAACTGAGCATGAAGATTAAGCCTAAACCACAGCACAGATCTTTGTTCTGCTACAAGCTGAACCTTATGTTCCATTTCAACAATTAGAGGATCACAACAGTATATGGCTGTTCAAGCAGGAGTTAAAAAACAATTACAGAAGATCACCATGCGCCACTGAAAAGTTAATTATGAGTGAAACTGTTCTATATGATCACACAATGTAGACACATAAGCAGATGTTCTGTTTTGGGTTTGTTTTTGTTAGAGGTTTTTTTGTTGTTTGTTACTAGTAGGTTAGAGAGCAGCAAGAGAACTACAGCTTAACTATTTCTGTAGATCTCCACCTTCTGGGCAGTATTTTGAGCTCTGTGCTGCCATGGCTCAAATGCTTTCTACTTTAAAGTTACCTCCTATAAGCCTACACTGAAACTAAGGCAGCCCGTGGTGCATACACCCAGTGAAAATCCCTCCAATTCACAACAATGAGGACAATTAACATTGAGCTCCTGTGTCAACAGACTTTTTCCACAGTTACAAAGACTGGGAAATCAGTCAATGGTTAAATCCACAACTTCAGCAAACCACAACTAGAATACAGTAAAGGTAAAAACAATATAAGATAAATTCCTTTTACATACACACGATGGTGCTTGCTGCTATAGGATATTATCAAGCAAACAAGTAGTCATTAGCAAATATTACAATATTTGCTTATGCTAGGAACATCTAGGAGTCCCATTCAGGAAGAGTTACACAGTATGCTAATTTACACATAAATTCAGAGTAATTATACCCTTCTCCCCACAGCTACAAATTAGATACCAATTTACTTTACTAGAATTACACAGAAACTTAGAGGGTATTCATAATGTCTCCACTCCTATGAGACTTTTAGCTTAGGGTATACCAAGAGTAACCAGTTTGGTGTGACACCCCACCACTTTCAGTTGTACCTCCAAATACTGATACAAGATCAGCAGTCTGCCAAGACAAAAGTCACTTTATCCCATGTGGGAATTCAATAACTGAGATAATCTTTAAGCAAAAAAAGCACTGGTCCTGATCATCCCTTCCCACCCCCTAAACTGGGGACAAAGGTAACTCAGACACCCAAGAGCAGCAGTTCTAATGCAGAATTTTTGCCACAGAAAGGCTTCAAGACTTCTAAACTGCAGCAGACCCAAGATCATGACCAAAATTATTTTATGACCCAGATTCACACAAGAAGTATTGCTGTACATTGAGTTCTAGTGTGTATTCAAAGGCCCTACTGATAGATCAAGACCGGAAGGGAAAGTTGTAAGCAGTTAGGACTGGGAGCACTAGATCTATAGGGGCTGATACCAGCATCAAGGTGTCTTAAAGCAGTATGTGCTGCTTTATACCCACACTTGAAGAACACACAAATCTGGATTACAGCAGGTTTGTATCAGCATACCTTCACCCTGCCAACCTGGGGTCTAGTTTATTCCTAAGCAAAACAGCAAGCACATAATTACTAATGTATAGATTTTGTTATTCTTATTGCTGAGTTAGTTCTGATATCATACCACAAGAACAGCAGCATTGCCAGGACTGAACCAAGGAAGCTTCTGATAGATACAGATTAACATCTTCAAAAAAACAGCATCCTTTTATTTCACCAAGAAAGGCTGGTATACAGGCTACAGCAATTACTTGCTAACTTACACAGACTTCCTACCTAAATGTCAGCCTGCCCCGTGCCTCAGTTTCCCAGACGTTAAACTGGGGATAACAAAATCTCACCATCTCGCAGCGCTATTCTGAAATGCTCCTCTACAATTACAGGCTTCACAGACTCATACTTTGTTATCAGCAGACCAAGACAGGTAAGCACCAGTACAAAGCTTGAAGTACAGAGCTTGAATTCAATCATTCAGGATGTTCCTGCTACCTGAAAAAGAATACAGCTCCCTAACACTGCTGTAGCTTGAACGCAGAGTTCAAACTGTAACAAGATGCAGCTTTGAACTCAGACTTTGGCAATTAAAATGCTTTAATTTCACTATTATAGGCAGCTTCCGGCTATTTTAATTTTACAGCGGTACATTAAAAACTTCAAGGAGCATACAGCTGGAACTCTATGAAATATGAACAACTCCACTTCTTTCCTAAAAAGCTGAGTAAAGATCAAAAGAGCAGTCTAACAATCACAAAAGCCTGTGCAGTTCTCCCTAGTAGCTCTTAAACTTTGTTCTGAACACCTATCTCCAGATCAGACTGGAAACTGGAGAACAGAAGAGCCATGACAGAGATTACAGTGTATCTAATTTGACACAAGAACAGGCAAAGACTAATCAGCAACAGGAAACCTCTGACAGTTGCAGGTCTGAACAGTGCAAGCATTGTATTTTTCTTCTACTCAAGTTCATGAAAACAGGAGGCATTTTTTTCTCTAATTAAACCTAGTGTGAAACCCAGATATGGCCTTTAACACAACAGATTAAGACTCTATGCAGTCAAATGTTAAAAAAGTATGCTAGTTAAGTATCAACAGCATTAAGGGTTCAATTCTATCCAGTGATTCCCCTTATGACTGTCCCATATTCATGCCCCTATATGAGTTTTAAATAATTTTCCAAGCATGTTTGGAAATACCCATAGCTATTTTACTAGTCTACAACTGTAAATGGAGGATAACCATCCTTCAGAACACCTCTGCACAAAATTCACTCCACTTGTGGAAAACAGGAAATCAGAAGTGCCAGTAACACTTGAAGGCATAACAAGACAGCACAAGTCCTATTAGAATTTGGTCTATCAGCCATTTTCCTCCCCATAAACCTCTCCCTTGAAATGGGCTTTAAATTTCTCTTTGAAAGGAAGTCAAATTCCTGAGGACTATGTCTTCACTGATGCAAGTGTCCTATTGATCATATTTTTTAAGACAGTTTTATATACACTGTGCCCTACTCCCAGTTATGAAACTAGCAACTTTTTAATTACGACATTTTAATGTTTGTTTATTTTAACCTGTTATTTAATTCCCATTTCCTTCTCCCCAGATTTAGGCAAATGTCTACATCCCCTCTGCAAATCTGCCCACTCCCATTTCAATGTAACATTTCCTATAAAATTGGCAAGTCACTGTCCTTCACACACAGACAGAACTTGCACATTATTGGAAATGCTAATTAAGTTTATAAACACTAAGATTTTATACTGCAGTGCAGCTTTTCCTTGAGTGCGTATTTTGTTATAATTTCTTCCATCAAAAGTAAAGACAAAAGCAACTTTTTCCCTTTAAAAAAGATCTATTACAGGAAGAAACATTTGTGTGAGATAAGAAATAAAGTTGAAAATTAATTCTATCAACTAATAGGAGATGTGTTTCTCTTTTTCCACATTCCTTCTGTTTTGACAGCATGTTATCTCTCCTCATACATCATCACTTCAAGTTTTTCCTTACACAAACTGGTGTTCAGCCAGGCAAGAGTCACAGTTCTCCTCCTTTCAGATAACTCATCAATCATCATAAAATAACAATTAAAAGTAGTGAGGAACAGAACAAGGGAAAACATCAAAAGAAAAAACAAAGATTCCACCCATGCTCCTGTCTGGCACAGTTTCTGGGATCACTGATTTCATTGGAACTGTTCACATTAGTAACAGAAAGAATCAACTGGTAAAGCATCCTCTTTAGTCACAGGTAGCAACCGAGCTTATCCAATGACTGTTAAAAACTTGTATGTATAATCTCAGAATGCTGCTATTTTTCCAGCTAGACATAGTCTGCTATACCCTTTTCACTGTAGAATTACTTTCTCCACAAATTAAACGAGGTTGCCCAAGTAGTCTACTTGGGTTATGCTTTAAGGGATGCAAAGCAGCACCACAGTCAGAGGCCCCAGCTTCCGAAAGCTGAGAGGACTAGCCTCTGTCAGGACAGAATTAATTAATCCAGAGAAATATTTCAATTCATGGCTTTTTATTGTTCCATTTTTAGCTCTGTGATATGTAGCCCTACCAATTATGAGGCTTACAGTTCTGAGGACTGAAGTCTCCCAGAAACCCTGATACAGGTGGTATAGGTACAACCTCATGGCTCCGCAAATGTGTTGGAAACCCCACCTGGAAAATTACACTGCAATGCCTAGTTGACACATGGAGGTGCTTCCTTCTTCCAGGCTGAGGCTTAGCCCACCATTGCCTTGTCCTCTGAGCTGAGCCTAACACAACCACACGCACATCCTTCTGCCTGCTGCCTGTCCTCTGGGGCTCTTCAAGGCAAATTCCTGGCAAGCAGGGTTTTCCATGCTGAACAGTGGAGAGCAAGAGATACCAGAAACCACATACAACTTCTTTAACAAAAGCAAGGATTAAAATACATTTTATTCTGCTCTCAGCTCCATGCACACACATACATTGTGGTAGTCCTGAACAGAATCTGGGCCCACATTCTCTTATCATTTCACACAGGCCACAGCCAATAAAAACTCCTTAATGATCAGAGTCACAAAACCTGGGTGTAAAAGAAGATTCTTAAGACAAAAGGCCACTTCCTTCTTTCAACCCCTTGCCTGTTCTCTTAAAGTATTTCCAGGCTACATAGTGATAACTAATGGAGCACAAGACAAAAACATTAACTCTGTTGGGGACAGAAAGAAGAAGAGAGGTTCTTCAACACAAGAGATGGGAAACGTAACACCCAGTCTAGGAAAGCCCAAAGACAGGAAAAACAGCCATTTCCAGCACACCACAGGAACATGGTCAGCTACCAGCTACTGCCAGCAGCTAAGCAAGCACTCCTGCCCTCACTCCAACATGCCCTTCACATTTTATTTAAGGGCTTGAGTACTCATTCCTTGTGCGATCTTATCCAGCCCTGATACTCAGAAATACGTTTATTTCTGAGTCATACCTCTAATTTCCTATTCCCCCTGTAATTCTGAGGAATGTTTCCAGTGTGTGATCAGACACTCACAGGACCTGTCAGTTTTACTGATGCAAGCTGTTTACCTTCATGAGGCTCTCTTAACATCTGTAGGTGTGTCGCAAATTACCTGTAATTGCGGAAGCCTTTATTTTGCTTGGTGTTTTAGCTGGTCGGGTACTTCACATAGCGTGCTTAGCGAGAGCTGTTGGGAGAATATGAATTAAAAAAGAGAGATTGTTAGGAGTTAAACGGATAATCAACAGCGACAAGAGTATTCCCAATTAACGCCGGGCGCGGGGTTCAAGCACCCCGCCTCATGCTTAAGCTCGGGAAGCGAAACCGAGAGCTCGGCGGCCGAGCAGGGGCGAAGCCTGTCAGGCCCGGGGGTGCGGCGCACACGGTGCCCCGCGGCCGGCCCCGGCCCGTCTCCGCGGGCGGCCCCGCTCC